GTGGCAAAAAGTCGGACACGACTGAGTGACTTTCACTTTCACTTTGATTAAGATGGGAAGCCATTGGAAGGCTTTAGCAGAGGTGTAATGTGATAAGGTTCATGTTGTAACAGGATCACTGTTGACCCCAGTGATAAAGAACCTGCCTGCAATGCAGGAGACTCAAAAGATGAGGGTTCGATCCCTGGGTCGGGAAGATTCCCCCAGAAGAGGAAACAGCAACCTGCTCCAGTATTCTTGCCTGGAAAATTCCATGGACGGAGGAGCTTGGCTGGCTGTGTCCTGACACAACTGAGCACACATGAACAGTGGGGTCAAGGGCAGGATGGTAGACGGGGCATCAGTTAGGAGTCTATGGCTGTAATCCAAGTAAGAAAAGATGGTGGCTTGTCCCATGTTGGGGGCAATGGAAGTCATGTGAATGCTTTGGATTCTGATCTTTATTCAAGGAATTGTTGATGGGTTCAGTACGAGATGCGAAATAAGAAGAGCAAGCAAGAGGAATCTAAATGTTTTACCTGTGTAATTAGAAAATTAGTGCAGCTGTTTACTGGGGTGGAAGAACCAGGCATGTGAGGACGCTCAGGAGTTCAGTTTTCAATGAGAGCTACTTATCAAACATCCAGGGGAGATGCCCAAGATGGCATTTTGATATACACATCTGTATCCGGAGGAGAGGTCCAAGATGGGGATATGACTTGCTGAGTCATCAGCATACAGCTGTAATTAAAACTATGAAACTGGATAAGCTCTACCCAAGTCATGAATATAAATAAGAAAGCAAAGTCTAAGGGCTTCCCTAGGGTACCTCAGTATCTTGAGTTGAGGAGATGAGACAGAAGTAGTCATCTAGGTTATGGATAACAAACTCTATGATGGACACCAAGACAGAATTAGTCAGTTATTATAGAAGACAGTCCTGAGGAATTTATCAAAATACAAAGCAGACATGTTAGAAAATAAATGTAATGACACAGAAGGCATATGAAAAGTCTCTAATATGCATCCACAGAAATTCAAGACAGACAATAGAAAGAAAGAATGGTGGGAAAAGAGTATTTGGGGAAATGACTAGAAATTTTCCAGAGTTGAAAAACTAGTCTTATGGTTGAAAATACATACCAAGGGCCTAGCAGAATAAATAAAATCATATTTATGTAAGTACATCATAGTAACACTAAAAATATATGGACTAAAGAGATGATCTTAAAAGCTATCAGAGAACATAAAAGAGAAATTACCTTCAAGGAAATAACAATTTGATTTAATGAGGTTTCTCACCAGCAAAAATTGATACTGAAAGAGAAGAGACTAGTATCTTTCAAGTCCTAAAAGAAAAATACTTTCAAAAAAGCTTTCTATACTCAGCTATCAATCAAGAGTAGGAAGAAAAAACTATACCTAAAAAAAACTGAGAGAGTTTACTAGCCATATAGTATAAAAAGTAAGATTAGAGGAAAAAGATAACTTCAAAGAAAATATTAAAACAAACTGGTAAACAAAGCTAAAAACTGCCTATAGAAAACGACTGAAAAGTGCACGTGTGCATGTGTGTTTTAAGATGACAATAAGAAGGAAGTGAAAGGAAGGAGTTCAGGATGTAGCTAAAGAGCATTGAAGTTCTTGTTTTATTTGAGAAAGATGCTAGATGATATTGTACTTTATTGAAAAATATAAAGTTCAGTTCAGTTTAGTCACTGGTGATTGCAGCCATGAAATTAAGACACGCTCACTCCTTGGAAGGAAAGTTATGACCAACCTAGACACCATATTAAAAAGCAGAGGCATTACTTTGTCAACAAAGGTCCATCTAGTCAAGGCTATGGTTTTTCCAGTGGTCATGTATGGATGTGAGAGTTGGACTGTAAAGAAAGCTGAGCACTGAAGAATTGATGCTTTTGAACTGTGGTGTTGGAGAAGACTCTTGAGAGTCCCTTGGACTGTGAGGAGATCCAACCAGTCCATCCTAAAGGAAATCAGTCCTGGGGGTTCATTGGGAGGACTGATGTTGAAGCGGAAACTCCAATAAAGTTAAGGATGTATATTAAAGATGCAAGAAAAAAACCTGAAATACAGAATTAAAATCCATAAATGTCAGAACAAAGAAAAAGCACTGTAAAAAGAAAATAAGATTATACGGCTTCTGGTTTCAGCTGTGACATATAAGACCCTGGATATCATGACTCGCATACTCACAACAAAAAGTGAACAAACTGTGAGTCAATGACTTTGCTTGGACTTATCAGAGGACTGAAGTTGCAAGGTAAGTCATGCCCCTACAGTGTTGAAAGAAAGCAAACCCCTAGTCACAGCCCAGATCTGCTGGCCTGAAACGGAAGCCTCTGGAGCCATAAACTGGTAAGAGCATTTAAATGACAATTTGGACAAACTTCTGGAGGGTGAGAGTGGACTAGTATGAGAGCAGGAAGCTTCTGGGGGCTCCATCTTGCGGTTGTTGGTGGCAGTGGGGAGGAGGGGTTGGCAAACACTTTCATTACCTCCAGGAACTCCCAATCAGGGTCACACAGTGAAGATCTAGAAAAAGCTCCTCCTGGCCCTGGCTGGGGAAGAGAAGAGTAGCCTTTGTTACTCACACCCGGGCATTCTCCATAACAGAGAGAGACCTTCTGTTCAGAGCAAGACTTTCCTAGAGCTGGGATAAGGCTCTAGGAAACGAGGAGGACACTCCCCTTGCCCTCGCCCCATCTGTGACAGCATCTAGACTTCTGCCTAACAAGAGAGAGAAAAGCTATATCCCTTTAGAAACACTTGTAAAGTTCACAAACCAGGACCCAGGCTCCTAAAAGACTAAGATTAGCCATAAAATTCATAGAATGCTTCTGCTCCAGTGTCTGACCATCACAGCGAGACAGATCTGATGTAGAGCAAGACTTAACATCACTTGTTACTATCTTATTAGGAATTAGAGGGTGAAGTCCTCCTGTAGGGATAGATAAATAAATCAGTAGAAAGGATGGAGACTCTGGAAACAGAGGGAATTAAATGGAGGACTTCACAATTGGGTGTTGAGACAACAGATTTTCCATATGAAAAAATAAAAACTTCGGTTCCTACTTTATACTGCATATTATAAACCTCAGGCATATGAATGACATGAATCTGAAAAAGAAGTTAAATTATAGAAGAATAATTTTATGATTCCAAAGAAGAGAAGGATTTATTAAAAATACAAAAAAGCATAAATGAGAAAAAAATGACAAAGTTGACTGTATAAAAGTTAAAGCCTTCTGAATGACCAAAGAAAATAAAGCAAAAGTCAGAAACTTAGATAAATGATTTTCAACACACATATGCAGCAAAAAATTAATATTCTGAATACATGAAGATGGGCTTCCCAGGTGGCGCAGTTGTAAAGAATCCGCCTGCCAATGCAGGAGACTCTGGTTTGATTCCTGGATTGGGAAGATCCTCTGGAGAAGGAAATGGCAACCCACTCTAGTATTCTTGCTTGAGAAATTCCATGGACGAGGAGCCTGGCAGGCTACAGCACATGGGGTCTCAATGAGTCAGACATGATTGAGCACACACATATATATGAAGAATTTGCTTGAGGTGATATTAAAAAGACAAACTAGTCATGTGTGGATGTGAGCGTTGGACTATCTATAAAGAAAGCTTAGCACCAAAGAATTGATGCTTTTGAACTGTGGTTTTGGTGAAGACTCGAGAGATACAAGGAGACTCTGCAGAGATGCAAGGTCAAACCAGTCAATCCTCAAGGAAATCAGTCCTGAATATTCACTGGAAGGACTGAAGCTGATGCTGAAGCTGAAGCTCCAATACTTTGGCCACCTGATGTGAAGAACTGACTTGTTGGGAAAGACCCTGATGCTGGGAAAGATTGAAGACAGGAGGAGAAGGGGATGACAGAGGATGAGATGATTGGATGACATCACCTACTCAATGGACATGAGTTTGAGTAAGCCCCAGGAGTTGGTGATGGACAGGGAAACCTGGTGTGCTGCAGTCCATGGGGTCACAAAGAGTCGGACATGACTGAGTGACTGAACTGAACTGAAATAGTAAAAATTGGGCAAAGGATATAATCAGGCAGATCACTGAAGAGAAAACCTGAATGTCTAGCTGAAGTGTATTTCTTAATTTCCAAATATTAAGGGCTTTGTAGTTAACTTCTCATGAGTTTTGGCTTTATTCTACTGTTGTCAAAGAACACACTGTATATATATACATTATAATCATGTATTTGAAATTTCTAAGACTTGACTTGGACTCAGCACAAATGACTTATTTAATTGCAGTGTTTAATCAGAATATTCTATTATAGTTGCTCAGTAAATATTTATTGAAGAACTAATGGAAAGTCACAAAATAGTTTATGCTCTTCTATTTGTAGCTTTTCTCAGCCCCTCAGCTCAGAGCATCAGAATTCTCTGCAATGACTGTCTGCCTTCTAGGCAGTACAGTGAGAACACTTAGAAATCTGCCTTCAGTTTGAATTGTGGCTCAGCAGTTTGTGAAATGTTAGAAGCTGAACAAATTTATCTCAGTCTGCTTTCTCTTCTTAAAAATGTTTGCAAAAATATTTTTTTTTGGGGAGGGAGGACTTGTGGGGGCATCAGCTGGTAGCTCAGTTGGTGAAGAATCTGCGTGCAATGCAGAAAACCCCAGTTCGATTCCTAGGTCAGGAAGATCCCCTAGAGGAGGGCATGGCAATCCACTCCTGTGTTCTTGCCTGGAGAACCCCCGTGGACAGAGGAGCCTGGCAGGCTACAGGACACAACTGAGCAACTAAGCAAAGCCCAGCACAGAGGCTTACAGGTAGAATTAGAAATAAAATATGCAATAATGCTAGACACATTTGTAGGGACAATGGTAGGAATACAATTGCACAAATTTCACCCAGAAGTCTTCAGTTCAGTTCAGTCGCTCAGTTGTCTCCAACTCTTTGTGACCCCATGAACTGCAGCATGCCAGACCTCCCTGACCATCACCAACTCCTGGAGTTTACTCAAACTTACATCCATTGAGTCAGTGATGCCATCCAACCATCTCATCCTCCGTCATCCCCTTCTCCTCCTGCCCTCAATCTTTCCCAGCATCAGGGTCTTTTCAAATGAGTCAACTCTTAGCATCAGGTGGCCAAACTATTGGAGTTTCAACTTCAACATCAGTCCTTCCAATGAACACCCAGGACTGATCTCCTTTAGGATGGACTGGTTGGATCTCCTTGCAGTCCAAAGGACTCTCAAGAGTCTTCTCCAACACCATAGTTCAAAAGCATCAATCCCTCGGTGCTCTGCTTTCTTTATAGTCCAACTCTCACATCCATACATGACCAATGGAGAAACCATAGCCTTGACTAGATGGACCTTTGTTGATAAAGTAACTTCTCTGCTTTTTAATATGCTGTCTAGGTTCGTCATAACTTTCCTTCCAAGGAGTAAGCATCTTTTAATTTCATGGCTGCAATCACCATCTGCAGTGATTTTGGAGCCCAGAAAAATAAAGTCTTAAATTTCTGTAAATTAGTAGTTCATGTGTATGTTCATTGGGCCTTCTAGATTAATACAATGCCTCAGTTTCTTAGAAAAAGATACTAATCTGAGCATGATCTTAAATAAGAAAGACACACACACATGCACATCTTTTTATGGTTGCAATTACAGATCCCTAAGAAGTGTTTCTTCTTTGTGGAATTAATTCCAGAAAAATATCTGTAAAACTCCAAAGGAAGGGGAAAAAAACTGCCTCCCCCCAAAAAAAGGAAATTCCTTGAGTATTTGTGAACTTGAATTAGAGATATCTAATAAAAATTTCCCAAGTGAATAGCAAATAAAATGAATGACTATCTAAAAGTCAAAATCCATTTACGGGAATATTGGGCAATCCAGGTGGCAGAGCTTGGTTAGCAGTTCTCTGGAAATGTAAAAGAGTGAACATATAAATCATTTGCATTTATAGATCCCATTCAAGCTGAATCACCCCGAATTTTCTGAGTCAACTGGTGCAGCTGCCAGTTGGCAAACTCGTGGCTACAGAACAGGCTGGGAGCGAATTGCATGGGTTTCAGAATGTGGAGTGAGGAGGTCTGAATAAACGGCAGGTGCTCTGCAAAGAGCTTTTCACAATTTAGAGAGAACGTAGTTCATGGATATAAAGGAAAGCAATGAAATATTCCCTCTCATGAAAATTTTGATTCTAGTTTTTAAGTTAAAAAATACAAAATATCAGAGCGAACTTTCTGGTAAATAGGAAAACTTACTATTTAAAGTCATTTCATCAAATTTTCACAAGTTCTTATCTCATACCCAGAAGATATCTTCTTGTTGTCTTTATTTTAAAGGTTAACTTGCTTTTAGCTACTTTTAGATGTTTATGTTGAACTCTTGTCACTGTACTTCTAACAATGATTTTTTTTTTTTTTTTGAGAATTTGCTATCTTGGATAGCATTAGGCCTAAAGTGTTTGCTCAGGGTGTTGTCTCCAACGTTTCCTTCATTGTTATTGGATGTTATGTATCTAAAATGGTGTTTCCCCATCTGCTGTGCTCAGATGCTTGGGTGGGGGTACTCCTGGGTGTACTCCATAACAATTTTATAGTTTGATGCTTTCTTTTTGATGATAACTGAATGTACTGTAAAATTTAAATAGCTTAAAAAGAGAAACATGGTAGAGGACTTGTATTATCACTTAGAACACATTAGGCATTTAAGCCAAACTTTTGAAAGAGATCTGTGTGTGTGGCAATCAGTATGTTTTCATATTACAGGTTTACAGCAGTGTTTCAGCAAAATAACAACTTGCTTTAATGTTGCTGATTGGAATTTTTATTATATTTTATTTATAACAAGACCATTAACATTAGGAAATTTCCCCTAGCTTTATGTTTGCATGTTTTCAAGTAACATGAAAAATCAAAATCACATGCCAACCCTTGAGGATATAGTTTCCCCTTGAAAGAAATCTCTACATATTTAAGCTTGAAAAGTGCTATCTAAATTCCTCTTCAACAAGCTACTGTATTTTTGTTGATGGCTCAGTGGTTAAGAATCCACCTGCCAATGCAAGAGTCACAAGAGACTCAGGTTCAATCCCTGGGTAGGGAAGATCCCTAGAGTAGGAAATGGCAACCCACTCCAGTATTCTTGCCGGGAAAATCCAATGGACAGAGAAGTCTGGAGGGCTACAGTCCATGAGGTTGCAAAAGAGTAGACATGACTGAGGGGCTAAACAACAATAACAACAACAGGATACAAAGCCAGTCAAGAAAACCTGGCTACCCAGGATAGGCAGGGGATATTTATTAGATGATTTTGTCACCTGACACTTTTGGCCTTTTAAGGGGTACCTGTGATGGGGCTTTCACTCCCTGGAAGTGAAGTCAGAGTAACTTTTTCTCAGCTGGTTATAGCAGTCCTCTGGTTCCAGCCCTGATTTCTCTGTCAGTATGGATCTAGGTAACTCACTGTCTTCCTTGGCTTGGTGGTTTCTAAATTTTTTGCTATGAAATCTTTTTTCCAAGGGGAAAAAGTCAGATCCCCCTACTCAAAAGGTAGTTGTACTTTTCTTGGAGAAAATATATCATTATGATAGATACCATAAATTCGGTAATGCTATTAAATACATTTTAGAATTGTATGTGCTTTTTATTCCTTATATGCAGGAATATTGCTGATTCAGTCTCCTGGAAGATTGGTATTCATATAGATGGAAAGACCACTTGAAATAATTCATGGTCCACCAAGGGTTTGAGGCTCTTTTTGCAGAGAGTTGGACTGTAAAGAAGGCTGGGTGCCGAAGAAACAGTGCTTTTGAACTGTGGTGCTAGAGAAGACTCTTGAAAGCCTCTTGGACTGCAAGGAGATCAAACCAGTCAATCCTCAAGGAAATCAGTCCTGACTATTCATTGGAAGGACTGATGCTGAAGCTGAAGCTTCAATATTTTGGCCACCTGATGCAAACAACTGACTCATTTGAAAAGACCCTGATGCTGGGAAAGATTGAAGGCAGGAGGAGAAGGGGACGACAGAGAATGAGATGGTTGGAAGGCATCACTGATGCAATGGACATGAGTTTGAGCAAGCTCCGGGAGATGGTGATCGACAGGGAAGCCTGGTGTTCTGCAGTCCATGGGGTTGCAAAGAGTCGGAAATGACTAAACGACTGAACTGAATTGATGGGAAGAGTGGACTCATTGGAAATAGAGGAGGACAGAGGAGCATGGTGTGCTACAGTCCATAGGGTCGCAAAGAGTTGGACATGAATTAGCGACTGAACAACAAAACAATATGTATATATGTGTGTGTACGTGTGCATGTATAGTATATATATATACATATCAGACAAATATATATGTTAAATTACATATAAATGTAAAGAAATATGAGCTTCCCTGGTGGCTCAGCAGTAAAGACCCTGTCTGCAACGCAGGAGACCCATGTTTGATCCCTAGGTGGTGAAGATCCCCTGGAGGAGGGCATGGCAACCTGCTTTAGTACTCTTGCCTGGGGAATCCTATGGACAGAGGAGCCTGGCAGGCTGCAGTCCATGGGGTCACACAGACTCAGACACAACTGAAGCGACTAAGCAGCAGCAGCATAAATGAATATATACATTTATATACATATTTAATTGTAACATCACTCAGTTGCAGACCTAGGACAGATAACTTTTTGGCAAGACTTCAGCAGATTTCCTTATTTATGAAACAGACCCTAAAAGAGAGGGCCTCAGAAAGCAGAAATCACATTCTTTGTTTCAGAAAACTTCTTCCCAATCCCAGCACTGCTATCCTGCAAGATACAACAAACAAAACTCAGAGCAGTGATCTGATTTTCCTTTAAAAACATTTCGTGCTAGAAGGGGCAGCCAACTCTAGTAACTGCCTGAATTCCAGCACGCTGACGGTTGTCAACTGAAAGAGTAAAAAACGTTATCACCTGTTTAAGCACCACTGACTGATGTATATTCAGAAGCAAATCCAAACGGTCGCACCCACTTTTCAAGCATCAGGGAGACCAGATGAGAACGGTGTCTCAGAGATCCGCTGTCAGTGGACACTGTCTCTCTTTCTCTTTGCAGTGGAGTAGGAGAGGGAAAGAATTACATTAAAATGTAATGTTTGTCATTGGCTGCGATTTAAAAGGGAGACGAAGAAGGAAGAAAGGGAAAAGTTCCCAGCCCGTTGCCGGCTAAGGTGTGGAGCTATCTGAATACATTGGTAATGGGAAGGACTGATTAGTCTGGAAGGCTGCCTACAGGTTAGCGGGCCTCATTTCAAATCTCTGACAGCAATATGTGTCGTTTCATGCTTCATCCTCATTCCCCATGTTCAACACAAACCGGGGTCACTCTATATATGGAAATCACTGTCTTCAGGGCAAAAAAATTAAAAAAGGTGAGATTGCCGCTTTAACCTCACTGGCCTCAGAAAATATGTTTTAGTCTGATACATTATACTAGTAGGAATTATTTATCAAGAAGATACAAGCTTGATATTTCAGAAATAATGAGATGTTCTGGTTTTGCAGCTGAAATTTTATGGTCCACAGAGCATCAGCTATGAATCCAGAGGAGTGAAGTGAAGTTGCAATGAATGATATACACCAGGAAGCCAAAGAAAAATGGCTGCGGAGAGGGTAATATGAAAGTTATAACACAGGACAAAGCTTTCTATCGCCAAAGTTCCTTTGTTGCTAAGTGAGGAAATTTATTTTAGGGAATGTTAAAAAAAGGTCCACACATAAAAATCTTTCAGACTTTCCTTCCTGATGTTTTATTTGGCAAACGTCTACAGGATGAGGAAGTTGTAATAAACACTACAGTCTACGGTTAACATGAAATATTAAAAATTCACAGCAAAAGAATCTAACTTGTCATCATTGTGTAATGCGAAAGCTGTCACAAGAATAATTCACTGACACAGCAATTAGAAAACACATAAATATATACAATAGTGCTTTTTGGAAATGTAGATTTTTGCTTATATATTTCTTGGTCAAGTTGCCCGAGTGATAAAAAGCCATTTGTCGTATTATATTTCCAGGACTACAAA